GCAACAGGTCAAAGGGCAGCTGTGGGCAGGAACCCCAGCCCATGCCATCCTCCTGGTGTGCCAGGCACTGTCCAGCTCTGACAGTGCCCTGGTGACCACCTGTGTGCCACTGGGCACACCAGAGTATCGCAGACGCCACCGGCACGCTCTGTGGATGGGCTGGTGTGTGACCTGGCTCTCTGTGGGATGCTGGGACATGTGGCAGCTGCAAGTGCTGGTTAATGCCCCATCATTGCTCTTATCCTGTGCCCACCGGTCCCACAACCCTGAGCAGTTCAGACTCATTCCTAGCATGGGCAGGGACCTCCTTGAGGGCAGGGACCACTGCCACCCATGTGGGGACATGCAGCAGCACACACAAACCCCCCAGTCCCTCTGGGCTACCCATGCCCCATCCTGCTGCCCACACCACACAGGTCCTGTGGAAATCCCGGGACTGGGGCGCTCTACAATGCAGTGATGCAGCAGCATTGCCATGGCGACGGGTGACATCATGCCTGGGTGCACAGGGACTCGGCAGCCCCGGGCCTACGGGTGCGTGTCTGCCCTGGGGTGGCGTGGGTGCAGGGAGAGGGTACACGGGGTGGGGGTGGGTGTCCCAGTGCGCCCAGCTGCACTGGGTGACTCCAGGCCTGGGCTGGGGAAGGGGATGTGGGATCCTTGCATGGAGCGGGAGCCCCTCAGCACCTTCACTCAGCCCTGCCATCACCCAGTCTGGATCCCCACCCACACCCGGGGCTGTGCCACCGGCCACCAGCCCCCACGCAAGGGTAGAGGCAGGGAAGGGTCACACGGAGGGTTTTACTGTTCAGCCATGTGCAGATGGGGCACTGGGACAGAGGACAGACACCCTTGTCCCCCATGCTCACCCCCATGCTCACCACAACACAGCCTCCCCACCCATCTATGGGTGCAAGAGCGCAGAGCGATCTGTGGCACCCAACACCCATGACTGCCAGGGGCTCTCTGGCCATGCTGTGTCCCCAGGGGCGCCCAGAGCATCCCTGATGGCCGTGAGGACCCCGGTGGGGCAGTGCCACAGGGTCAGCACCCACAGCTGGCAGATGTGGACGCACATCCAGCATGGTGTGTCTCCCATCAGCAGGTCCCAGTGGGAAGCCAGGATTAACCATCAGCAGATGAGGAAAGCATCAGGGACAGCATCAAGGATGGCATCAGGGATGGCATTAGGGATGGCATCAGGGACAGCATTTCTGCTCAGCAGTTCAGGATTAGGTCCTTGGCAGGAGCCCTTTCTCACCCCTCCTGCTGTGGGGACAGGGGCACACAGCCAGGCCCCACAGCTCTGCTCTTCCCAGGACCACCAGGAGCGACCCTCACGGCCAAGAGCCCCAAAGCCCACAGCCGTGGCTCTGTCCATCCCCATCCGTGGGCGGGCAGCTCCCAGGCAAGGCTCTCCCCGGGCTGAGCGTGCAGTGGAGCACAGCTGCCTGCGGAGCTGCCAGCTCAGATGAAGGCAGCGCCGTGCCATCCTCCAACCACCCCGACAGCTCCACCCGGGCCCCCCGGGAACTGCAGATGGAGATGGAGGCGTGAGGTCACCCAGAAAATCCGGCTCAGCACTCAGCAATGTGAGCCGGGGGGTCCGTGGTCATGGACCCCTCTGAGCATGGCAGTGGGTGTCCAGGGTTCCTGAGGGATGCAGGATGAGCAGGGAGAGTGGGTGTCCCTCAGGCTGGGGAGCACAAGCACAGGGTGGTGGATGGGGCAGCTGTTCAGAGAGGTGCTGGCACAGCGGTTTGGCACGGACTGGCATTGTGTGCTGGACTGGAGGGACCACGGCGCTCCCATGGGAGCCCCCACACAGTTGGGTGCCCCCCACCAGCATCCCATGGCATGGCTGGGGCTCACACCCTGCCCTGTTCCCAGTGCTGGGTGCCTAGCTCCTGTCCCACCTGTCACACACTGCTCACACACAGCACCCACCTCTTGCCCTCGTAGCACCCACCTCTCACACACAGCACCCACCCCTCACACACACCCTCACTCAGAGCACCCCATTCCCACGTGCAGCACCCACTTCTTGCACACACCACCACACAGAGCACCCATCTCCCGCTCACAGCATCCACTTCTTGCACACACAGAGCACCCACCCCTCACCCGCAGCACCCACTTGCACATGCAGTACCCACTTCACATGCACCCACTTGCACACACTGCTCGCTTACAGCACCCACCTCTTGCACACCCATACCCCACAACACCCACCTCGCACCCGCAGCACCCACCTCTCGCACACCCACACCCGGAACAGCCGCCTCTCGCTCAGAACACCCACCTCCCACCGGAGCACCCGCCTCTCACTCGCAGCACCCACCTCTTGCACACCCGCACCCCGAACACCCACCTCCCACCCACAGCTCCCGCCCCCTGCACCCCCGCAGCGCCCACCCCTCGCAGACCCGAGCACCCCCTCGCCGCAGGCTCACCGAGACCGGGCTCCCCGCGCTCCCTCCCTCCCCCGCCCCGCCGGTGCCCTCTCGCCGCACGCGGTGCCCGCTCGCCGTGCCCCGTGCCCACCTGGAGACCCCGGCGCCGCAGGATGCTGGGCTCGTCCATCCCGCCGCCGCCGCCGCCTCCCGCTGCGCCCGCTCCGCCCGGTGCGCCCGGTCCGCCCCGCCGGTGCGCCAGGGGCGCCGCCCAGCGGCCCCGCCGCGTCACCGGACGCGCATCAGCACCGGCACCGGGGCTGGCACGGCACAGAATGGGGCTGGCACGGCATGGAGCTATCACAGCACAGAACTGGCATGGCATAGCATGGCACGGGGCTGCCACAGCACGGCACTGCATGGCATGCCAGTCCTGTGGCACAGGACTGGCATGCCGCGGGGTCGGCATGGCATAGAACAGACTGGGACTGGCATAGTCTGTCTGGTTCGGTACAGCTCAGTGCAGCCCAGCATGGCACAGTCTGGCATGACATGGCACAGTATAGCACATCATGGGGTTGGCACGGCATGGGGCTGGCACGGCACAATATGAGGCTGGCACAGCACAGAACTGGCATGGCATAGCATGACACAGGGCTGGCACAGCGTGGGGCTGGCATGACATAGCATGACATGGGGCTGGCACATGGGGCGTGACACGACATGCAGCTGTCATGGCACAGGACTCTCACGGCATGGGGCTGGCCTGGGGCCGGCATGATACAGTGTGGCACAGGGCTGTCACAGCATGGCATGCAGCTGGCATGGCACAGGACTGGCCCAGTCTCCCTGGCTTGGTACAGCTCAGTACGGCCCAGCATGGCACAGCCTGGCATGGCATGGCATGGTATAGCACATTATGGGGCTGGCACAGGGCTGGCACAATCTGCCTGGTTCAGCACATCCCAGCATGGCAGACTCTGCCATGGCATGGCACAACAGAGCATGGGACAGCCCAGGACTGTCACAGTCTTCCTGGCTTGGTACAGCTCAGCATGACACCGCCTGGGGCTGGCACAGCAGGGCACTGGTGGGACCTCAGTGTGGTCCAGCCCAGGTCTGTCCTGGCTGGCACAGCACAGCACAGTGTTTATGACCTGAGGCAGCACTGCCCAGTACAGTCCAGCATGGCATGGCACAGCCCAGTGTGGCATGGCATGGTAAAGCATGGCCCAGCCTGGCCAGCATGGCACAGCACAGTCCAGTCAGGCACGGCGTGGTCCAACATGGCACAGCTTAGTGTGGCATGGTACAACATGACCTGGCCTGGTTCAGCATGGTACGGCAGAGCCCAGTCCAGCCTAGTACAGCCCAGTCCTGCTGTCTGTTGTGGCCCAGCAAAGCCCAGCATGGCTCAGTTCAGCACAGCACGGCTTGGTGTGTACCCGCACCCCAGTGGGCAGGACAGGGAGGGCACACAGGGAGGCAGGAGGTGCCAGGGGCCCTCTGTGCACCCATCCCAGCCGTGCCCACACTGTTCCAGCACAGAGACACTCCCACCAGCACTGCCCTCCGGCCCCGAGCGAGCACCACACAAGGAGCCACTTTCTGTGGAAACAAGGGGACTCTGTGCATGGCCCTCGGTGCCACCCGGCTCCACCGTCCCGAAGTCACCCGCCCGTCACACGGCTGCTGGTGCCCCGGTGCCACCGTGCTCTCCCACCTCACTGGGGCTTTGTTTGTGGCGCAGGGAATGAGCTGTGCTGGGAACGAGCACAGCAGCCGGGTTTGGAAACACACACCCCCCTCCCCCCAAAAAAAAAACCTGGACAACCCCAACCTTGGAGATTCGCCCAGTTACAGGCAGAAGATCAAAACCACACTGTGAAGTTTGCAAAAACAACAACCCAACCAAAAACCCCAAGACTCATCTTTCGCTTACCTTGCGCTTCTGGCCGTGCCGGGGCACGGGGCACGTGGTGCAGCTGGGACACGAGGTGCAGCCGCGGGGCAGGGCCGGCCCCATCCCGGCAGCCGTGCCGGCAAAAAAGCGGGATATTTTGTGTTGCTTTCTCTTTTGTTTCTGGTAAAAGTGAGGCAGGCACTCACGTCTCACGCTCTGACCTGCCTGGGAACGGCCGCCCTCCGGCGCGGTCTGAGCAGAAGAGGAAACACCAGGCATGGGAAGCTGTGCTGAGCACCGGGGCTGCCACCACGCCTGAGAGGGGCACTCATTGGGTGCTGGGGGATTGAGCAGCCAGGAAGGGCAGGGAAGCCCTGAATCCGGAGTGGGACACCCCCGGTGGGCGATGCTGGGGTGGCTGCTGGCGGCACTGGTGGCGGGCGGTAAGTGTTGCTGCGGTGCTGGGAGATGAGAGATAACTTCAGAACACTTTCAGTGAGTGATTCGGGGGTGATAAGGCCAAGGGAGGTGGTGCTGCGATGGAGATGCTCACCCAAAACCACAGGGATGGAGTAAAGGCGGTGAATCCCTACTGGCAGTGGGCAGGACTGGGGTGAGCAGCACCAGTATCACTGGGGATGGGGGAAGTGGGGGGTCTTGGTGAGAATCGCTCATGTGGCTGCTCCAATACCCCAGCTACAGCGCTGCTCCTTCAGTGCATGGGAAAGGGTATGGGAGGCGGGAGCCCCCAGACACTGCCCTATACCACAGGCACCACCACAGCCCAGAACTTCTCCTGCTGGAAGAAATGCAACTCCCTCAACTCTTTCCACTGCTCCTGGTCACCCCTCGGCCCTGCTGGCAACACCTCCTACTCCCTGAATCTCTGGTGAGTTGGGCATTGTGGAGGGGGATGGGGAGCCCATGGGATGTGTCCTGCCTCACCCGGATTTGACCTTGTGCCCACTCCCTCCCCAGCTGGCAGCACAAAGGGTGTAGCCAGTTTGATGCACACAAGATGACAAACTACAAACTGCCACATCACAAGCTGTACATCTTAAACAACGTTGTGGCCTGGGTAGAGGCAAGCTGGGAAGGCCACGTCCACAGGACCCCCAATATCACATTTGTCTTCAACGAGGCCGGTAAGTACCTATGGGACCAGGCTGAACACCAGCACCAGGGCCAAAAACTGCCAAAACCACTCAAAACAACATCTTTGCAGAAAAGCCAGATCCACCTCCCTCACGGGTGCCCTTCTCCAAGACTGACGGCCAGCTGAGGCTGCGGGTGCCACGGCCACAGTGCCCTGGCATGGACCAGCCAGCAGAGCGGGAGGCTCGATCCTGGAGGGCAGGAGACAGCGGCTGGACACAAGTAAAAATGCTGTTTGCTGGAGCTGGGACAGTTGGGAGCACTGTGGCAGCCTGGGGAGTGTGGGGGCTCAGTGATGTCACTGTCCTCCCCCCCAAACCCAGCTGTGCCCCATCTGTTTCGCTGCCTTATCGGCTCTGCCTCATCTTCTGGCCATGGGATCCTGCTGCTTCCCATAACAGGATCAGGCCGTGATTCGAAGGGATTACACAGGCAAAACCCCAGATTATACTAATGACGACAACAGATGAAATCTGGAGGCTTGTCCCCAGTGAAGCCCCCGCAGCTGGGGACCCCCTGCTCCTCTCAATTGCTGCCAGGAGGGTCCCAGGGTTGAAGAGGGGCTACCCCAACCAAGGAAATCCCTTGGGCCACCATGTCCCCTCTATTTGTTTCTCCCAGCGCCTGGGATGATTGCAGATCACACTGATGGCCCAGTAACATACTGGTTTTACTAGGAGGGTGTCTTCATTCCCAGTTTTCTCTACAGGTGGAATGTATGACCGTGATGGTGAAAGATGAAGATGACTCAGGTTGGTTGAGCCTGTGGGGATGTTGGGGACAAGCATCTTCTGGGAGTATTCCCAGGTTCTGGCAGAATGCTCTGCCCCGTGCTCCCCCCCAGCACCCACAATGGCCAAAAGCTGGGAGAAAGAGGGGTCATCTCCCACCTGACCCTGCCACCCCTCTCTAGTGAACTGTACCCTGAAGGGGAATGGCACCTTTGTGGTCCAACTACGGCAAAAGACCTGGAGCAGCTACTGGAGTGACTGGAGCAGCAACATCTCTGTTCCCGAGGGTAAGGAAGAGGAGGGGAGGCTGGTGGGATCCTACCAGCTCCCAAAAACATTGATCACTCAGTCAGGCTTGTCCCTCCTGCAGAAATCCTGGAGAGCCCAGTGCTGAGCCACCAACTAGAAAAACTAGGAAGACATGGGCAGCGGGTGCTGAGGCTGAGCTGGCAGGTACAGCGGCATCTCTGGGGACCCTCCTGAGTGTCTCCCCCACCATTTCATCCCCCACACTGCCCACTCTCCCTCCCCAGCCAGTCCTCAAGGGACAAAGCGATGTCAACTACACACTGCACGCCCACATGCCAGCGTGTGGCTGTGCTGAGCTGGACGAGGAGGACGTTGTGGTGCTGGGGTGGGAGGTGAGGGAGCACAACCTCACCCTGTCTGGAGCTGAATACGAAATCCTGCTGAGGGCCGTCAACGCCGCTGGGCCAGGGCCGGCGTCACAGCTCCACGTGCCGGCAGAGCAGCATAGAGGTACCTATCCCACAGCAGGGCCGAGCTCCCCTGGCAGCCCCTCAGGGAGTTACTATTTCCAGCTATCCCTCACATCCACCATTTCATCCCAGATCTCAGCTTCAAGGATGTCAGCGTCGCCGGTAGCACCGTGACGGCACAATGGGAAGCACCAATCCCGGGCGAGGCCTATTGCTTCGAGCAGCAGGTCCTGGCAGAAGCCTCCCAACAGAGTGTCTGCATCCAAGAGGAATTCCCTGCCAAGAGCATCCACGTGGAGAAAGGCAAGGGAGCACCCCAAGCCCTCCACCTGGGGTCAGAGTTGGTGGGGGTCTAACCAGCACCCCCGGTTCCTGCCCCAGGAGCACTGGGAGCGCCGGCGTGTTACCGCCTTGCTGTGCACGGCTGGGACCCAGAGCAGGGCTGGACCACCTTCGCCCTGTGGCACCACTATGCCAACGACGGTATGTGTGGGAGCACAGCACATCTATGCCTGGTTTAACTCCAGAAAGGGGTTCCTGAAACACTCCCCCCTTTTTTGGCACCACTACCTGTAGGCTCGCTGGCCGTGCCCATTGACATCAGCAGCGGAGATGCCGGCGTCGTCCTCCAGTGGAAACCGTCCCCCCGCGCCACCTGCCCTGGGGTGCTGGCCAAGTACCTCATCTGCCACATGGCCGAGAGGGACAACATGACCTGTGAGTGGGACTCCTCTAGCCCTGTGGGGCAGGAGGAGGGTGCTGCCCAGGCAGCTGCCAGACTGCTGCCCACTTGTTGTTGTTTGCCCAGACAGTGAAGCTGATGCCACAGCAGTGAACTACACCCTCCAAAACCTCCAGCCCGGCACAGCCTACAGGGTGGGTGTTTGGGAAGTGACAAAGGACAGCGAGGGGACCTGCAGTGCTTGGAAGAAGTTCCAGACCAAGGCGTTAGGTAACGGTTGGGATCCCATCCTCTCCCCACTCCCCATGGGGTGCTCGCCCTCACCCCGAAATGTCTCCTGTGTCCCATGTGGGGTGTTGGGGACAGGAATGCCACCACCCAGCCGTGCCTGTCCCCAGGTCCTCAGGGAGCAGTGTGGAGAGCCAACCTGAAGTACCTGGGCATCTCGCTCAGTGTCCCCATCATGGCTGCCATCTACCACCTGACCAAAAAGAGGTGACAGCAGCACCCTTGCCCCCACACAGCTCAGGCCACCCCCCATTGCCCAACCCCTCACTAACCACCCCCTCCCCTCCCCTCCCAGGGCTCGCCACCTCCTCTTCCCACCTCTTCCTAAGCCCGTGGGCACCAATGCCATCCAGTTCTCTGCCGGCGAGAAGGGCCAGGTGAGATGCAAGGTGCTGCCCACAAACACCCACACATGGTCCTGGCAAGGGACATTCCACCCCAAACCCACCCAACCCTTAGGGCCAGACCTGGATAGGCCTCCTGGAGCCCTCGGAGAGGTTCAACCCAGCTGAGCTGCTGCTGACGGAGCTGAATCCCAGCAAGGAGACAACTGACACCACCACGCAGACTGATGTGCCATGTCCCAGCGTGCCACAGCCCAATGTGTCACAGCCCAGCGTGCCACAGTCCAATGTGCCACAGCCCAACGTGCCACAGCCCAGTCTTGTGATGGAAAAGCCAGCGGAGGTGCTAGTGGTGTGTCCACCAGGCTGTGAGGAGGAGATGACCTTTGCCTACCGCAGGCAGGAGATGCTGAGCCCAGTGGGATTTCCACTGCCTGGCAGCACCAATTGCACTGGGCACCCACACGGCAAGAAGGAGGAGGAGGAGGAGGAAGAGGAGGGAAGGCAGGAGCTATGCCAGCCATTGATCCCCATTGCCCTGCTCATCTCCAACAAATCCATCATCATCGGGGACCAGGAAGGATGGAATCCATTGCAGGAGAAGTCGGTGCCATAGCCATCACCAGGCTGGAGCAGCAGGGATGGATGGCAGGAATAGGGTGTCCAATGGGGTGCTAAGTGTGTGGGATGCTGGGTGCCCACCCCATGGGATCATGGTCAAGCCAGCACTTTCAGGGGGTTTTCTGGTTTACAGGACAAGGAAGGCGATGTCTCTGGATTCTGTGTTGCACCATGCCAGGTTTTAGCCACACACTTCCCAGTCTCAATTTTTCACCAGGAATAAAAACCAAGGGATAGTGGCTCCAGAGTCTGTCCAGGGCTGAGGGTATTTCCTTGGCTGGATCAGGAGGAGAGGCAGAACTTCATCCCTGCCAGCTTCCACCACTGGGACCAGCATCCCCTCCTTGGGATGGGGACGCAAAGCACCAAACACCATCTACCTGCAAAAAAAAAAGAAAAGAAATCGGCAAAAAAAAAAGAGGGAAAAAAAAAAAAAAAAGCAAACATAAAAAAATTAAGTAACTCCACAAAGCAGCAGGGCTGAGATGGTTTTTCCTCGCCTGACCCGGGCAGATTGCAGCAAGGATTTAGAGCCGAGGGCAATCCATGGCGCTGCAGAGGACACAGCCGGTCTGGGGTGATCCCTCGGCCCCCCCCAGCCCCTTCGTGTGGGGCCACGTTGCCGCCTTGGGCTTTATCTGGGGCAGAATTGGAGATGAGAAGCGATTTGTGGTTTTCTCTGCCTGGCGGCGTCGGCGCTGACTTGCTGAGAGAGCAAAAAATTTTAAAAAACTACAAACTACGTGGGGTTGGTAGCACGGGGAAGTCCAGGTAAGGCACCGCCGCGGTGTCTCAGCCACCAGCACACGGCTCGGCCTCCCCGCTGCTTTTAGCTCGCGTTTTGCAAAGGATTTCACCAAAATCGCGCTCGCAGCACCAGCACCGCGGGCGGAAACGACGCCGATGCCTAGCGGAGACACCGCACCGGGAGCGGGGGGCGGCGGGGCGGCACGGTCACCTCGCAACCCCCGCCAGGGACGGGTGGGCTGGGATTTATGGCCATTCCCAGCGCTCCAGAGGTGAAGTGGCTGCGATGGTGTTTCTCCCATGGCTGGGGGTCCCGTTCAGGATCCGCATCGCTGTGCTACCGTCCTCGTGCCCACCAGCGTCCGGCATCTTCACCCAGCCCAGGACGTTCAGCTGCTGATGAAGCCACGAGGTGGCATCAGCCCCACGTCCCCACGGCGCTTCCCAACCTCTTGGAAGAGCAAATTCATCCTTCCCTCCCCGCCACGCATCACCTCACAGGCCCCCCGTGTCCTCTCTTGCGCACCCCAAATCCCTGGGGATCGGCTGGAGATCTGGCGTCCTGCCACGCAGAAACCCAGGCGCGGGGATCAGATTTAGGGATTTTGTTGGGATTTGCCAGGCTCACTGTCGGAGCACACCAGGCACACAGGGAGGAAGTATCCGGTTACAGGAGCGGGTGCACACTCGAGTTTCAGCCCTGGCCCCTGTTTACAGCCCGGGGTCAGAGCAATGAAGGAAACAGCTCTGGGGTCACGGCTCAGCACGGCTGGGTGGCAGCAGTAAACACATTGCCCGTCTCGGGGCTAGAGCCGACGCCAGTTAATCATTCCGGTTCACGGAATGAGTTCACAGCAGGACAGACAGTCCCAATTGCTGCATTAAAAACAGCCTGGGGAGGGGGAACGGCAGACCCCCCATGGTGGCACCCTCCAGGGATCCATCCCACCCATGGTGCCGCTCACACCCCCTCTGATGCCTTCAGGGTTGGCCCTGTGCATCTTTTCCCACACGTGTCCCGAGCTGGCCAGTGCTCTGCCAGGAACATGGTGCCCATGAACAACGTGCCGGGGAAAACTAATCAAGCCATAACTTGCCAATTAGTGCAAGCGAGTGGCTCGGGACTTTCTAATTAGTTTAAATTTCACAGGATTGTTTTCCAAATGAGTCCCCGGGAGCTGTGTTGAGCCTGGCGACCCAAGGGTAGCTGCCAGGCCAGACTTTGCAGCCAGGACATGACCTTCCCTGCTCCTCCATCCAGATCCGAATGGGTGCAGGACCCAGACATGCTACAGGGCATCGATTATGCCTGGTGAGAGCCACCACCACCCACAGCCTGAGGGTGGGCAACTCATTACACCCAACAGGAGACTCCAGGATAAGCAGCCAAAAGCCATCACGGCAGGGAAAATAAAGGTCAGCCCAGCTGAGGGGTGTAATGGTGGGGGCACAAGGGGTTCAACATCGATCCCAAAGTCACCTCAAGCTATGGGTTCCCCTATTCACACCCACTGGTGCCAGCGCTGCCCACACACCACCAGTGACAGTGCTGTTTCCCTGGGCAAACATGGAGCATCCCTGCTTTAAAGGGGAAAAACCTCATCTTATTCCCTCCCTATTCCCACAGAGTCCCAGTCATGTGTCCCCAAAAGTAAATGGCACGAGGGACATGTGCAGGCGGATTTACCTGCAAGTGGAAAACTCAGCACCACATCCCAAGAAAGCAGGTGGGGCAGCCAGAGCTGCAGCAAGGTGGTGGGAGCCTGGAGATTTGCCTTGAGCTCCCTGATTTTCTAGAATCATAAAAGTTGGAAAAGCCCTCTAAGATTATCGAGTCCAATCATTAACCCAGCACACCAGCCAAGCCCACCACTAAACCATGTTCCCAGGTGCCACATCCCCATGGCTTTTAAATCCCTCCAGGGATGGGGACTCCACCACTGCTGTGGGCAGCCTGTTCTTGTGCCTGACCACCTTTGGGTGGAGAAATTTTTCCTGAAACCTCCCCTGCAGCAACTTGAAGCCATTTCCTCTTGATTTTGGGGGATGCAAGCTCAGATGGCACCAGAGGAAAAACATAAAACAGCTCGAGTGGTTCACTATGGCCCCATCAACATCAGCCCTTGGGACCTCTAAGCCCCCGGGGAAGGCGAGGTCCATCCCTGTGGGTCCAGGCCGATATTTTTTCCCCAGATTAAGATGTTTTGCTCCCAGATCGAGGAGTTTAACCTGTTTCTCAGCCTCGGAGAAACAGCCCCACAGAGCCACAGCCTGGTTTTAGCATGGGCAGCAAAGAAGAATGTTGCAACCCTGCAACCCCTTCCCTCGCTCGTTCATCCATTCCTTTCCCAGTCCCTTCCCTCACCCATCCATCCCTCTCCCACCCCTTTCCCTACACCCAGCACCCTTTCCTCCTGCCTGAGCCCCATCCCAGAGAAGAGCCGATGCCAATGGGATGTTTGAGCCCAGCTCAACCATCAGCTATGGCTAAGAGCAGGATTATTTGCCAGGCAAAAAGCCGTTGCTGTCACCACCTCCACAATGCCACCCACTGCCAGGCAGATTAGGTGACTAAATCCCTAAGCAAACTGATCCCTGGGATTTTTTTTTTAGGGTTTTTTATTTTTTAAGCAGAACTCAAAGGCTGTGTCTCGCCCCAGCGGTGAACAGCTCATTTCATCCACCCCCCCCCCAGCACTGGCAAAACCTCGGTGGGCAGGATGCTCGGCAGATCCCTGGGGCAGTAAAATCTCAGCAGCTTCGGAATTTGGGCTTTTCCTCTCTAAAAAAAGCTTCTGGAATTCTTCTCACAGCAAAAGACCTCCATGCATTGCTGGCACAGGCATCCTGCAGCGGGGAAGGGGCTGCGTGGCCCACAGCTGGACAGACGGACACATCTGGACAAAGAGCCTCCGGCCACAGCTTGGCTCAGCTTGTTTTGAAAGTCACGGGTATTTCAGCGCCGGCGTTTTGCAACCATTCGGTGTCACAACAACAACAACAACTCGGTTCTACTTCGCAAACAGGTCCCGCGGCCACCCCGGCTCTTTCCTGCTCACGTCAGCCCGAACCTGCCTGCAACAGGCTCACCCGGGCCAGCACTGTTTCCAAACCCAAGGAGGGAAAACGACTTCAAGCAGCACCAAAACTGAATATTTAACAAACCGAGGAGGGCTCGGAGCTGCCCCTGGGGCTGCACTGGGTGCTCAGCTCACTTCAAAATCCCGCTGGGATGCTGCCTGTCCCAGCACGTGAGCTGGAAGAAGACGGTGAAAACCATCTTCTACCCTCACAGGGACGCTCGGGCGATGGCAGGAAGCGTTTTCTTTCTGCAGTTTTAACGTTTGCGGATGGCTGCTCTCAGGGCCGGCAGCCCCGGGGGCAGCTCAGACGCTGGCACGGCCAGAGCTTTCCAGGCTTTGGCAGCTGCAAAGCCGCAGCTATTGAATTGTGGTTGTTTTTCTTTTCAACGGAAACTTTATAATAATAGTAAAAGAAATCATAAATCCAGGATGTAGGGAGGTGGGAGGCCGCCTCCGTGCGCTTCCCTGGGTATCGGGTGATCGGGAAGGGGAGGACGCAGCGCTCTTATCAGCACACGCGTTCCCTGCCCACTTGGCAGCGGAGCCGGCCGGAGGTTTGCAGCATAAACATATTTTGCTCAAGCAGGCGGCCAGAGTTGACCTAAGGACAACTCGATAAGAACCAGAGAACCCCCCAAAATCCCCTATTTACAGCACACCACCCCCTCCCGCATCCGTGCAGGCTCATCCCGGAGCAAGCAGCCTGCCCGGCTGTGCAGCGATAAACACAGGACCAAAAGCAACGCCCCCTCTCCCAGCTCCGCTCCCCCGATGTTTACCAGCTCTTCGCAGGCAGATCGACTCTCTCTCGTTTTTTCACAGACCAAACCGCCAGGAAAGCGGAGGGAACCGGCTCAGCCCCTCCCGGGACCGTTCGGCAGCACCCTCCCCACCGGCACTGCCCGCCACAGCCACCTCCAACCAGCTGGGACCTCCCGGGCTATCGCTGCCTCCATCGCCGAGCCGCAATGTGGTGACATTTACACAGCTGCTCAGCAGGAAAATGCCTCTCCCTGCTCCACACAAATGCCTGCATTAAAAAATAATGGGACGCAGGCTTGCTAATGTGGTTGCGAAAGGGCGGGGGGCATCCCTGCAAGCTGCCTTGAACTCAGGATATTCTGTGGTTCTGATTCTCCCCCCCAAAACTGAGCTTAATCTGAGGGGTTTTTTGTTGAAATCAGCTCAAAATTGCTGCTTATTGCAGAGTGGTGGGGAAGAAAAAAAAGGGCATAACCCTGTTTCGGAAGACTTTGAGGTTGGGGAATGGGAGGAGAGATCAGAGCCGTGGGGTTTGACAGGGTCACACCATCATTCCTGCCCCAGAGCAAGGATGAGGTGACAGTGAGCAGTGAGGGTGACAGCCCCGACTTCTCCCTTCTCAGCGGGGAACACCCAGAGCAGCCCAGCAGGGAGGGAGGTGGTGGCACACGCCCCACACGAGTAAGGTTTTAGCTGTGGGGAGATTTGGGGGTCAGGGCGTGGGGTGTCCCCGCGGCAGGGGTCGGGTCCCCACGCCGTGCTCGATGGGGGTTTCTCTACGATCTGTGAAGCGGCGCCGGGGAGTGACAGGAAACACAGCCGGGGTGGGGAGCGGCGCTGGGAGCAAAGTCCTATCGCTCCACGTCCCTGTCACAGGGAATGGCCGTGTCACCTGCAAATCCCAGACCGGCGCGGGAGCCCTGGGCTGGGTGAGCGCCATCCCCGTGCGCACTGTTTGTGTGCCAACACGTCACGCGCCGCCGCTGGATGGCTCGGCATGGGGGGGGAATTTTTTAGTGGTGTTGTTTTTGAGTGTGTTGGTTTTTTTTTTAAACAAAGCCAAAATATTTGTGTCCCCGCAGGGACGACTCTGGGTCACCGAACACGGGGCGCCGCACTGGGGTCCCGGCGGGAGAGGGGACACCCGGCTCGGGGGGGAGGGTCCGGTGCCAGCGGCTCCTTATTCAGTCCCCAGTGTTTATACATAGACATGTTTGTGCGCGGCGCCGGCCCCTTCCTCGCTCCCAAACAACTGGATAAAAGTCAAAAAGTCATAGAAATTTTCCATCGCCGGAGGAAAGGAGGAAGAGAGCAGTGACTGTGCAAGGGACTAGGCAGTGCCACAGCGAGGAATCCCAAATGGGGGAGTCAGACCCAAAAAAACAAGGCCTTGGGTTTGATATAGTGAATAAAGAAGGTGGTTTGCTCCCGGCAGCCTGCGGCAAGGCATCGGTAGCACCCGCTGCCATCGGGGTTTGTGGGGTGTCCCGGTCTATGATCCCCTTGGAACGATGCTCGCAGGGGACGGGACATGTGGCACATGCAACAAGTCCATCCAGCTGCTCCAGACCCCGCTTTTTGGCACAAACCCACCGCGGTTGCCCGCAGTTTTCCCCCCGCCCCCCCCCCCCCCCCCCCCCCCCCACCCCCCCCCCCCCCCCCCCCCCCGCGCCCGGAGGAGCTCAGTGCCCGCATCGGGCTGGGAAAAGCTGCGATTCCTGTCGAGCCAGTGGGGAAAGCCCCGGCGCAGGGATGCGGGGACTTCGCCTGTGGTTTCCGTGGGCGGGAGCGGCTCCGGCAAACAGGCGACTGAGTCAGCGGGCGGAGGGGCGGCCGCGATGCCGCCCCAGCATGTCGGGATGCACGGCTGCTTCCCGGAGCCCTGGCACAGCTCTGCCGCTGCCGCATGAAGGGGAACCCCCAGAGCCCTGAAATGGTGCCAGGGCCAAGCCATGCCATCCACAGCCGGAGGTTAGAGCAAACCCAAAGCAAGGCCCGGTGCTCCTGGGGACTGTGTGTGTCCCCTCAAGTGTTCAACCTGGGGGTGAACAGGTCCCCCTGAACCCCCATCAGCACCGACCACTGCTCCCCAGGGTGGGAGTGCCGTGAACCCCCCATCCCACCAGCACAAAGATGCTGAATTTGAGCGGTGCATGAACCCCGTCCCCGGCACAAGGACAGAAGAGGGCCAAAATCCAGATTTATCATCACTGACTGCCTCCCCACCCCGTGCAAACAGAGCAGCCCCCAACGGGTGCCCCTTGGCAGGTTTTGGGGTGAGTTGTGTCCTGCAGGGCTCAGCCCAGCTGGGATGGGGGAAGGTGGTGCTTGGTTTGGGAGCTGGATGGGCTCCCGGGCCCTCCCGGGCCTGAGGCAGCAGCGGCGCAGTTAATCCCGGCCCTCGCAGGGCTGCGCCAGCTACAGCACATTCTGTCCCTGCCAGCGCCGGGTCGGCCACGAGTTTCGCGTCACCCTCCCCGCGGCACGGCCACTGACCCCCTGCCAGGGGACAACAGCCTCAAGTGATAGGGCCGAGCATCCTCTGGGAACAAGGAGGGGGGGGGGGAAGGAGTAGCCCCCCAACACGATGCAGAAAGGGCTACAGGGCCATGAGCTGCAGCCAGGGGGTCCCAGCATCTTCTAGATCCAGCACCCTTCAGAGCTGTGAGATGCCATTTCTGGAGGGTCCCAGCACCCTGCAGGGCTGTTGAACTGCAGCAGGGAGGGGTCCCAGCACTCTGCAGAGCCGTGGAGCTTGCAATATGAGGGAAGTATCAGCACCCCTGTGGCCACAGCAAAGGGGGTCCCACATTTTTGGGACTGAAGGGTAAAAAAGAAAAGAGAGTAGCAGAGTGTGTGTGGGGGGGGGGTTCTGTGCCCCTCGCAAGGAGCAGATTCTGCCGGGTGGTCTGGGCAGCATTTTCCAGCAAACGGGGCCAAGAGCTATAAATAATCCCGGCACTGTAGTTGCATCACGCGCCTCCTGCCTGGGATCGGGTCTCTGTGCTGAGCCGGCACCACCGCACATGGCACGGGGCCATCCCGGCTCAGTAGACCCCCAGGGAGCTCCGTGTGCCCCAACCTCCCTGTGCCAATAAACCAGAGAACAGCCCAGGCTGTTCAATCGGGACTTTGGAGCTGGGGAAGATAAACAACAGAAGGTTGGAGAGAGCACTGGCAGCACTGCCAGTGGTTGGGAAAGCACTGCCTGGGGCAGGTCTGCACCGTGCCCCTGCTCCAAGTGTCCAGACGAGGTATTTTTAGCCCCTCCTTGGATTCAGGAGTGCAGCCCTTTCCTGGCAGGAGCTCCAGCCTGGCCTTGTTGCGCTGCTGCCCGACTGTACAAGAAAAACCTGGAGGCATCTACAAGAATCCCTGCTGGAAAGATCTCTCCCACTCGCCGACACTGGGCTCCCCGGCTCGGCACGGCCTGTCCCAGTCACCGTGTGACATGGTTTCCCAGAAAGAAGCAGTGGGATAGACAGGGTGCTGGGCACTCGCCTCCCCCTCCAGCCCTGGGAATAAGCATCCCCTTGTGCAGCCGGGGCAGATGATCCGGGTCTGACCAGCAGCCCCCGGCCATCTCTGCTACACAGCACAGAACAGCTCCCTTGTGCCATGCTGGGATCAGCCTGGTCACAGGGCTTGCTTTGGAGGCATCTTTACCCAGGGGGTGCAGTGCTGTGCTTCATGTTCCCTTTGATGTCACCAAAAAGCCCCAGAGAGGCCATGCAGCACCGTGTGGCAGTGGCAGATCCAGGCATGATCTCCCCAGAGGAGGATGCAAACAAATTCCCTGAAAGGCCAGTTAATCCTCCTCCAGGGAAAATTACTCGGAGCACCAGGGATGCCAAATAAAAAGCAGATTTGAATAAAAGTTGCAGGAGCATCAGGTTCTCGCAGGCAAACACAGGGACAAGTTCTCTCCCATGACCTAGGGTAGGAGCACGTGCTCGGATGCAGCTGCGGCACTGAGCAGCTCAGCAAACATAAATATAAATAAAGGGGGGGGTGAAAAAAAAAAATCACATTCCAATGGCAGTATTTAAAAGCAGCATAGCCTGTGGAAGACAACTAAAGCCCTGACTCAAGCCTTGCCTTGCACACACCAAGAGTTGCTGTGCTCAGCAGAGATGTGGAGCACAGAAACGCTGTTAAAAACCAAATCCCAGCCGGAGGAAGCAGGTGAAGGAGCCTCCCTGCTCTTCCCACACAGCAGCAGTTCCCAGCCAGCACAGCATGGGGCTGATCCCAACCCTCCTTGGGCCCGGCTGAGCCAAAGCAGGAGTGTCCCAGCTCCCAGCTGGACCTACTGGCTCCCTGCCAGGCTCAGGATGGAGGAAAGGGTGTCTATCCTCCCAAGAGCCTGGACACAAACAGGAAGCAAGTGTGGAAAAATGCAACAGGTTTGCTCACTGCCCTGCATCCCAGGTAATAGGAAAAGAGCCAAACCTGCACAGCTGCGGAGGAGCCAGAGGCACAAGGGACCAATCCTGATGGGAAGCAGTGACCCAGTTAACCCCAGCACACAGTGGGACAGGGCACAGGGTGGAGCTGGATGCCAATGGGGTAACAAAGCGAGGGCAGGGAGAACTCCCACATCCCAACAGCCACATGGCTCCGGACAACGGGAAGCAGGAAGAGAAACAGAAAACTATCCAGGCAATACTTAAGGAATTTATTTCAGGCAAAAATTCCCCACAAAAAAAGTCATACAAAATGAGTAGAGACAAGAGTGGTCGTTACAAAAGTGTTCACAGATAGAAAAGACTCATCTGAGCAACCCCAGCGAGCAGAGGTAGCCCCGGCGCAGAGCCCAAGGCACACTGGCTTTGGATGTGCATGGCCAAGGATTGTCTCAGTGAGGGAATGCAAAGGTCCTCGGCCCCCAAACTCTGCTCAGGTCACCCTGGAGCGAGCAGGGTCAGCCCCTGCCACACACACACACTCATTGCTGCAACATCCAGCTCACCGGTTCTACAGCACTTCCCAACCCAGTGAGCACAGGTTGCTGCTGTGTCCTCATCCCACCAGGGCCACCGACCCCTCTACGGGCACAGGCTCAAGCCCATTCTGAGCAGGACTCCTGGCTCTGAAAGATTCATTCGAACTCCATATCTCCCATCAGCATCTGTGGCTGCCACCAGCCTTGGATTATGCTTTTTTCTCTTTTCCTAGGCCACCAGCCACAGCTCCAAGCCCCCATGGTGGTACCACAGTTTGGGGACTGGTTTTTCAGCCGCATCACGGAGGAGGCACCAGCACAGTGCACAGGTTTGGTGCTGACACACAGGAACCAGCCTTCCTGTTCTTGGTAAATGGCACCAAAATGCTGCCATGGATCATAAATTCATCCCCCAAGTCCTCATAACAGCCCTTGGAAGCCTTTACATTTCAGGTGAGTAGCTCAAAACCATTCCCCCCGCAGGTACCCACAGGCTTGTGGCAAGCATTATCAGCAGCAGCCAAAGCCTCTGCTTCATCTTGCTAGAAAAAGGCCTTTCGCTTCCTCAGGGACCTGCAGGCAAAGGGCTCCACCCGCATCGCCCCGGGGCTCAACCCTGAGCAGCATCAAAACATCCTCCATAATCCTGAGAAACGCCTCCAAGTTCCTGCTTTCCACACAGGAGCTGCCGGAGCTCAGCACTGCAAGCAAGGGGAGAGCAATCCTGGCTTATGCCAGGTGTTCCCTGTTCTAACCCCAAAATCCTGGGGCAGTTATTAAACCCTCCACATTCTGCCCAGCCACACACAGAGCCACTCCACAATGGCAGGTCCCTTGTGTTCTCCCCCCACACCCGAGGCCACGGCACCGCACTGGGTGTGGGTCTGTGGGACAGTCACGACAGGAGCAGCCAAGGGTGGTGAGCAGAGCCAGGGTCTTGGCACTACAAAGCTCTGGTTTCACGGACACCACATCCCCATTTCCAGCCTGAAGTGCTGTGAGGGTGTGCAAGCTCCCATCCCAAGGGATCACCACACTGTCAGCAGCGTCCGACGCACTTCTCTCAGCAGGTCATGCAGCGTGGGCGGATGCTGTCTGACGGGGGGTTGGGATCAACCTGCAAAGCCAAGTGTGGAGTCAAAAAACCTCAGCAATGGGCATTTCCCCAGCCATCCCCAGAAGTCTCCCAGCCCAGGGGGATGTACTACCTCTGAATACAGAGGAGGAGGTCGGAAGCGGAATTCCTGGATGTAGGCGAAGAAGGGACCTTCCAGGATGTCACCAAGCTCACTGCGGCATGGTGGGGCCAGGCTCTGCTCGGCCTCAGGGCTGGACACGACTGCTGAGTACTCAGGGGGAGCTGAAGAGAAAGGAGAACCATCAGGGAATAGGAAACACTCTCCATTCATGGGAGATATACAGGTAAAGAGCTCCAAAACCACTCTTACCCAAACCCTCCCAGTTCCCTGGCAAAGGAACCCAAGAGATTCAGCATAACAACCAAAAAATTAAGTTAAAAAGAAAAAGCAAATGCTGGACCAGTTGAAAACTTTGTCTGACCCTTGCTGTCCTGACAAGGGGGTTTATCCAGGGGAGAAAGAGATGCTCACCCTCCGGCTGCTCCGGAATGGTGTTCAGCCAGTCCAGGTTGACACTGTACTGGCTGCTGACACTGGATGTGCGGCTCCCAAACGGATGCAGCGGGATGGTCCCAATGACAAGCGGCAGTTCAAGGAGCAACTTGGAGGTCCCAGGAATATCCACACAAACCTGCAGAGACAGGAAGCAGCAGGGAAGCTTAGCTGTGGTGTTTTCCCAGTCTGGAGGGGCGGGTACCTCCCCCAGAGCAGGAGGGAGTTCTTGCAGCCACCTGCAGAGCTCCTCATGAGGTTCCTCACCTTCAGGGAATATTCCACCTGGAGGATGCGGCACTGGAGGATGGAAGGCCCCACAGGCGGGATCTTGAGGGCCCGCCCGTGCCACACTTCCCGCTTCCCTGCTGGAATGGAATCCCCAGTGATGCTGGTCACCACTGACCTCTTCTGCTTCTTGGAGCCCCGAGCGATGAAGGTCTGGGTCTGGATTATGGCCGCCTTGGGCACCACGGCCCGGCTTGTGCAGTTGTCGATCTCAGCAAAGATAGGGATGACCTCACCTGCCAAAACAGACACACAACATGTTGGAGGAAGGGAGACAGAACCCAGTCCTGCTTCAAGGAATTCCTGCACAGGCTCATCGAGGGTTGGCCATGCTACCCAGCACTGCAGACACATGGATTAATCCGGGAGCATCCCAAGGAGGCTGCCCACATCAGGTCCATGCACTAAAGCTCTGACTGATTTCGTGCCAGAAGAACCCAGCTCACAGTGATCCCAAATCCCCTCCCCTGGGGTCTATTCCAGGGCCCCTTGAGGTTCAAGGGCACCAGCCCCTCATCTCACCTGGGGTGTAGCCTTTTCGGTCAATCTTGGCAGTCACAGACACCTGGCCACGATTGCAGTACCAGGCACGAGCAAGTTTCTCCTTAGCACCTGCCTGGGGAGCCTGAAGAAGGGGAAATATTTAAGCAATTTAGTAAGTAAGGATGAAACTCAAAGCAATCACCTCGCTGGCACCAAGAACCTGCTGGGAAAGCATCAGCAACTTCTCAGGCATCTGATGCAAGATGCTATCGCAACGTGTTAAAGTTTCCAAAAACAAAGAGGCACAGCTGACCTCTGCCCAGCCTAGGTAATGCTGGAGGGCGTAAGTTACAGGGGGGGTAAATATTCCCTCTGGAAATCAGGCCTAGGCAGACATGGGCTTCCGAGGTAAGTTTTGGATGGCAGGGTGGAGCAGGGGGAACTCACCAGCAGCGCAGGTGTGTTGATGTCGATGGGTTCAATCACAGTAAACTCCCTCTTTGCTTTCTTCACTGTGGCCCAGGGTCTGTGCAGCTTGGCTTTCACCCAGTAGCGCACACTGCCGTGCTTCCCCTCAAAGGAGGTGACCAGGGTCCTGTGGGTGAGCAACCAGCAGTTTCCGAATGGTTCTACTCAAAGAACCTCCTTTTCAAGATGCCCTGTCACCCCAAAAAAAGCCAACTTACTCAGGGAGCTGGAAGGTGAAGGGGAACTCATGCCTTCCTGCCTGCAGGACAGTGGATTCACCATTGTCTGTGGGTAAAACAGATTTAAGAGGATTAAGCTCCTTCCTGCACAACTCCTTCCCTGGGTGAACTGGCAGCACAGATGGGCAGCACCCAGCAAAGGAGCAGCACAAGGGCAGAGCAGTATCTCTGCCAGGGTTAAACTGCAGCAGCTGTGACCCAAGAGTTAGGCACTGTCTGCTTTCCACATGTCTCCACACGCACGACCCAGGGGCACCTCCCTGGAGGGCCGGGCAGCTTCCCCAGGTGGGCTCTACTCCAGAGATGCCCAGCCAAGACTCCAGGAGGGAGAGTCATCGGCCAATCCCCCAGTGCCCCTCAAGGGTTTGCACCCCAGGATTGGAGGGGACCTCTGGGGATTACCTAGTCCGACACCCCACTCAAAACAAGCTCCTGAACCTTCATGAGAGTTTTCTAATGCTGCTTCCCTGCCAGGAAGAGCTCACAGAAAAGGGGGAGTCTTGGGGGAGGGGGGGCAGTCCCTAATCGGGGTGCCCTGCACAACAGCACGGTCCAGCTGTGCACCCCAGGACCCCAGAGTGCACTCCGAATTTGAGGTGTCTGCAGAGACCTACACACCCAGTTCCCAGAGCGCCCAGATCCTAAGGCACCCCGTGCACCCCGAATTTAGCCGTTTGGGGTGCCAGGCACCCAGATTTCAGCTGGTCGGAGTGCCAGACACCCAGATTTCTGTAGTTTTGGAGTGTCAGGCACCCAGCAGCTGGGCCATCCCTGGCACCCAGATCTCTGCAGTTTGGGGGTGTCAGGCACCCAAATTTCAGCCGGCTGGGGTGTCTGGAGCACCCAACACCAGGGGTGCCCCAGGCTGCCCCACGTCCCCATTGTTTCAGCCCCTGGGGTCTTTGGTGCCCCCACGCCCCCGCTGTGGCCGGCGACCAGGGAGTCCGGGTGCCGTCCCCGGGGAAGGGGGTGCCGTACCTGGGGGTGCCAGCAGCGTGTCGCGGTGGCTCAGAAACTCCACCTGGTCGCTGTAGCTCTGCGTGTAGGCGGTGCTAGAGCCGGCGCTGCGGGACTCGGTCCAGTGAACGCGGGCAGCGCCCATCGCCCGCAGCCTCAGGGCGCCGAGCCGGGCGCCCGCCGCCAATTCCAGCACCACGCGGCCCGACACCGCCTGCCCGGGGCTGAAGGCGGCCGGGCCGTCCCGCTCCGCGCCCTCCAGCACGATGGAGAAGCGTTTGAGGCGATCGAAAATCATGGCGAAGCGAGCGCGACTCAGCTGAGCCCAGAACCGGCGCGATGCGGCTCAACCCAGCCCGGCGCAGCTGAGCCCGGCTTTAAGCGCCCGGCGCGGCCGGGGGCGGCCCCGGCGGGGAGGGACGGGCTGGGCCGGGACGGGCCGGCCCCGCCGGGCCCTGCAAAACAAGGCAGGGAGCATGTGCGGACCGGCCTCCCCCCCCCGACCCGGGCGGGGCGGGGGCTCTGGGATGGGGCTTCAGTTTTGGGGTCCGTGTTCAGTCCCAGCGGGGCTCCCCACGCCCTCGCGGTACCGCACCGAGTCATCCCCACGGGGGGGCTGCTCCGCGGGAATGTGTCCGGGAGCAGAGACATAGTCACGGGGCTGAGCACTGCCAGTGGGTGACCCCTGGGTGCTGCCATGTTGCTTAGTACCCCCTAAAACTCCCTGCAGCTCTTAAACTTGACCCCCAGGCCCCTCTCTAGCTTCCATCTTTGCCCCTCAAACTCCAGCCTTGTGCCCCAAACTCCCCCTTCAACTCCATCCTTGCCCCCCAAAATCCCCTTCCATCTCCTATCCTTGACCCTCAAAATCCCAGTTCCCATCCTTGTCCCTCAAGCTCCCCCTCCAGCTCCTATCTTTGCGCCCCAAATTCTCCATCCTTACCGCCCAAACTCCCCATCCTTGCCCCTCAAACTACCCCTCCAGCTACCTTTCTGACATTCCATCCCATCTTCATCCAGAATCCCCATTCCTAGGGTCACAGCCAGGGGCTGTGCCGGGGTTGGGGGGGGGGGGGATTCCTCACTTGAAGCAGCAGCCCCTCTCATTTCAGTGGCCACAGGCGAGAGCCGAGGGCCGCTCTGCACACCAACCCACATCCCTCCTTTCCCAAGAGCCATTCCCAGGGCTCAGAACAGGCTACAACTGGATCTGGGCTCCTTGCAGAGCACGGCTGGGCCAGCTGGCGATGCAGTGATGTCTGGGACATCACTTCACTTAGTTCTAAGAAATCAAGAACTGGCCTGGGTTCAGCTTGTGCAAGGACAGGGTGAGCAATCCACCTCCCTGCGCTCGTTAACCAGGCGAGTGCCGGTTTTCCACCAGCTCCTGCTGGGATTGGGGTGGTGCTGCTCCAAAACCCAGCAACAAATCCCACCTACATGGGCAGGAACAGCACAGGGACTTGCTCTGTTGGCAGCATTTGCGGTTGCCAGTGCTTAGCTGGGGCGAAAGCTTGGAACTGGTGATTCTCAGGGTGCATATCAGCATTATCAGCGCCCTGAGATGTTGTAAAAGGAAGGAGAAAGGAGTCTGTGCCTCCCAAAAGGGTTAATGCAGCTATAGAGACTTCCACTTTAATGATGATTGTCATGTTTGCAGAGCACCAGAGCTCTGTACCTCGGGCATGGGTAGGGGATAAGACAAAATAGGCCTTCAAAATGTTACTCAGCATTTGGCCGCTGAAGTTTTGGAGATTTTTGATTTGCCCCCAGCCATGCCAGGCAGGACCTGCTGTGCTCAATTAGGTTGCTCTCAGCCACTAAAACTGAGCTAGGCTGAAGCCTGGCACAGCTTTAGCTGCCTCCAAAGCCTAGCTGGAATTGTCTGTCTCCCTCCCCAGGGGAAGGGGACCATGGTTTGTTTTATGTGCACGACCATTTGCTGCCACAAACAAACATGAATCATAGCGAACTCCGTAAGGGGGGGAGGGAAAGGAGGAGAGAAAGGAGGAAGGAAGGCATGTTGCAACACGAGTTAACCGGTGACACTTGGTGTCACTGGCTCTGGGAAGGAGCCTGGTGTCCCTGTGGTGCTTTTGGGGGGCGGGGGGGGGGGGGGGCGCTCTTGAGAGGGACTGGAGCCTTGCCGGGCCCCTTTCCTTCCTTGGCATCCTCCTCCCCCTCTCGCCTGCTGGCACACACCCCTCGGCCCGTGACTCAGCCTCGCCCACGGGATGTGAATCCCTGCAAACCTCCCTCCCATGTCAGTCGCATGCGATGCCCAGGCTGCCCCTCGCTGCCTCCACGTGGGATGGCCGGCCCCTCTCTGACCTCTCTGGGACCCCCGCGCCAGGAGAGGGTCTCTCCTCTCTCCTGGCATGTCCAGGTGCAGGGGCTGTGGGACCGCGAACGCTCCTGGGTGCCCAAACCCAAGGAAAACCCAGGTCTGGCTGGGTACAGGGACGATCTCCAGCTCTTCAGCCCCATCTAGAGTTTGGACAGGCTGCAGCTGGTCCGAGCAGGAGCTGACACCCTGCCCAGCTCAGAGGGGGCTTCTCCTTCCCAGACCCACTGCTGGGACCTGGTGGCTTTTCCCCACTGACACCAGAGCCACATGAGGGGCCCTGAAAACCAGAGAGAAGGGAACGCAGGAGGTAAACAGGCAAGTCAGCAGCTCTACCCTGACCCAATATGGGGATGAGATGGGACAACAGAGAGCCTTGCACAAGCTCACACTCCTAGCTTGAGGAATACACTCTGTCCCTGCCAGATATGGGAGTGTTGCATATGGATGAGGATTAGGGTGCTGACCGAGGGCCACCCCGCAGTGCAACAAGAGCCCTGATGCCATAACTCTCCTAGATGTCTCCATGAAAATAAAACGTCTTCTGGGCGTTTGCCCCTCTCCAGGGTAGGCACTATACCTTTGGGAAGTGCTGTGGGATCCTTGGACAAGAAAGATCGCTGCACACCAATCATTTATGTTTCTTTGGGTGCCTTCACATCCTTGTGCTTCCTTCGCCCATTAACCCCTGTGTTTTCCTCCCTTCCTGCTCCCTATCTCAGATGATTACACAATACACATTTAAAGGCCCTGCCTGCACATCCTCCTTGCTCCCTTTTTCTTGTCTCTCAGCACAGCACCCCGGTGCCAGTGCTCACCACCCTGCCAGGAAACTGCAGATAAACTCAGCTGAGGGGAGAGCAGGAGGGAGGGCTCTTATCTGTGCCTGGCTCCCCTCCTCTGCAGTGCCTTGTTACCATGACAAAACCTGCATTTTTTAACCACCACTCAGACACAGTTGATCTCATCTCATCCAGAAGCACCAAGAAGGGAGCAGTCACAGGGACTGTCGGATGATGACATGTTTCTCGCCAGCTGACACCAGGAAGGCCGTCACACTGCTGTTGGGGACAGAGCAGGACCCAGCAGAATCTGAAGGAAGCAGTTTTGGCCGCAGGACAGCCCTTCTCTGCAGCCTATAGCCTTTGCTCCCTTAAAATTGCTCCAGTGATCACATGCCCTTGTCCCTCTCACAAAGCACAAAAGGAATCTGTGTATGGACAGAGACAATAAAATCCCATCCCCCAAGTCCTGGTGGGTCTCTTTGCCCCCAGGTAGCCCAGCTCAACACTCCCTGGGCAATAGGTGAAGGCCAGGTCAGCTCTGAGCTACGGGTGGGCGTTCAGGGTGCTGGCAAGGCAGATCAACTCCAGCAATTCCTGCAGCCCTTGGCCAATGTCCTTCTCCAGAGGGCTCCAGGGGCTCCTATCATACACAATCCCAGCAGCAGAGTCCAAACATGCTCACAACAGCTTGTGACTTCCCTACAGGCATTCACTGCTAGTGGGGAATAAAACTCACTCTGCCACCTCACAGCTAAGGGGACACTGACCAAGCAATGCACAGCCAAGTGCTCAGGGCCTTTGCTGTTGGAGCCCAGGGCAAGGGCTTCTCCCAGGGCCTTAACTGTAATCCTTTGCAGGATCCTTTGCAGAGTTGCAGCTGCCAAGGGCCATCCTTAGTCAGAGCACAGAAAAGCTGCTGCCAAAAGACACAAACTCCAGAGCAATGCAGGTGTTTGGAGCAGATGGCAGGGCACAGTCACTCAGACATAAAGCATATGACCCCCCAGTGCAGTCCAGAGACAAGATTATCTCCAGGAAGGCAGCTCACATCTTCTTTCCATCCCTCCAGTTTATTCCTGCAACTTCTGTATTTGCCAGATTGGGCCTGGCACCACTCTCTGGGTTGCATTTGACCACTGATACAATTAAATGCCCTCAGCGTAAGTCCTACAGCCAGGGCCAGGCAACTGGGTCACAGGCAACAAGGCCATCAGAAGGCATGTCATTGGAGGGAAGGATAAAAGGCACACATGTTCCTAAGAAAAGCCAGAGTTAATGAGCGGATAGACAGCTGAGATGTCCCATATCCCTTGGCTCTGGATCATTTCATCCCAACCACACAAAGAATTCAAGTGGCTTGTCCTCCTGCAGTTGATCCAAGCAATGTGCCATCTGGGCACTCAGTCCCAGCACAGGGGAAGCGAAAACAAACACCAACCGAGCTACTAAGTGCTCTTTCCACACTTATGAACAGACCCTTGTGTTTGCACTTCCCTGTGCAAACAGAGCAAAAGCCACAAATCCTTCGAGCTGAGTTTATACCAGCAGCCTCCCAGAAACCAGCAGCAGGGAAACCCTCAGCCAAGGTGCAAAGACGTCCAAGAGGCACAAACAACGCTGTGTGGTCTGGCAACACCCATCGGGGAAGCGGCTCACCCAGAGCGGACATCGCAGCCCCAAGGGGGTCCCAACATGCTCTCCCTGGTGCAGAGCCCCACCCCGTGCCCCAACCTTACCAGGGATGAGCTGGCAGTGGCGGCTCAGGAAGGTCTGGTAGGCTGAGTAGTCCCTGTAGACAACGTTGAGCCCGATGCTGCAGCTCTCGAGCCAGTGCACGGTGGCACCGCCGTGGGCGCTCACCTCCAGCGCCTGCACCCGCAGCGCTCCCCGCAGCTCCAGCTGCACCCGCCCGTGCAGCAGCTCCCCGCTCCCATGGGCTGGGCCATCCTCCAGCTTCACCACCAAGCTCAGCCCTGGGAGCTGCATCACTGCGGGCCCCACTCTCCTGGCAGCTCCGGGAGGCTGGAGCCTTCCAGGGAAAGGAGGACGAGCAAAGGGCTACATCAAAATCCCCTGATTTATCCTAAGTGGCCCCACCCTGCAGGCCTTCCCGGGGGGTTCGACTGAGCCCCTGTTTTGCAACGATGTTTTAGGGTTGACCTCATGTGCGTGGGGCTGGTGCCGGGGCCACGGGGCTGAGGGACGTGTTTTTAAAGGGATCGAGGAATAACGTGACTTCAGCCTTATCTCTGAGTCACAGGCGCTGCCGACGTGACACCGGGACGTGCCAGTGGCTCCGTCGGCGGCAGGGAGGGGTGTCACACACCATCAGCCCTCCTGGGAGATTTCATACGGGTGGGCAATCAGAGAAAGCCTGTTTGGCCTTCCCAAGGCACTGCTGGAAATGGTGGGAGAAGAGTTTAGAAAGCAAAGACCCTCACCCCAAAAAGCCAGTTTTACTTTCCATGTCTGAAGTTGGATCAAAATCCACATGAAAAAGTGAATAACCACAGTTAGTTCCAGCAACAGCTCTCCCAGCTGGTGCCACCAAGGGGTGATTCTAGCATTTATCCCCAGGGAACTGTGGCTGTTCCTGCAGCAGCACAGGTGGCAGTGGCACCTCAGAGTCACATCAAAGTAACGGGGCAGAGCTGTAGCAGATGCAAGTTCCTGTTACTCCACCAAATGGTGCACCTGAGGTGTTTGAATCCAGGTGTTTACAGGGACTGAGGAGAGGTGCCTGTATGCATTTGCAAGATGTGAGTGCGTGGCTTCTTTGAAGTACATGTGGAGCAAAGATTCCATTCCCCCATTCCCGAGGAGTCAGATCCCCAGAGGAAAGCACAGTGGAGCAAAGACTGTCCCATTCCTGAGAGACAAAGAGTCAAATGCCCAGAGGAAAGCACAAGGGCACTGCTCACACACAGACTGCAGCAGCTGGGAACGAAGCCCAAAGGCTTCAGGGCTGGCTCACGGGGAATCAAACCCATCTGAGAAGAGCTTGTGAAGTGCCAAAGCAGCAGCTGGCCCTGCTCCCTCAGCCCCCCCAAGGGCTGACCAGCCCCCACTGACCCCTCTGGAACACACCTAGACCCCAAGCAGAGTTAGTGCAAGCTCAGCAGTCAGGAAACCCACGTGAGTGACCAACTCAACAAAAACACCCAGCTCACCTCTAGGAAAACAGCCCACACTCATCACAAGCTGAGCAGAGTTGCCCAGCTGCCCTACTGTCCACTGACCTTTGGTTCCAGGCCTTGACACCAAAATCTAAACAGATTCCAGCCCCCACACAGCCCTGACAGTGCTTCTCACTCTGTTTCTGGTCTCTTGCCCTGCCTCTGTGCTTCCCCCAGCCCACCTGCTTCCTCCTGCCCCTGTGCCTGCCCAGAGGTCTCCTGCAATCCAGAGGAATGTGTCACCCACTGGGTCCTGCAATCCAGAGGGATGTGTCACCCACGGCTTTGGGCTAATCTCCCACTGTTTATTCTTGCTGTCACAACACCTCCTTGTGTCCTCATTCAATCTGAGAAATAGATGTTCCCTGTGACAACACACAGAAGGGGGCAAGAGCAGAGCACAAGGAAGGCTTGGAGATCCCACGCCGTGTGGGCAGCTCACAGGGCCTGGTTGATGGAGGAGGGAGAATGTCACCTTCCCCTGGGGACAGGGCCTTTCCAGGGTCACCATGGGGACACACAGCTCACTTGGGAGTCTGCCTTTTGGATTTCAGCTGGGCCTCTAGACTTGGGTGTGAAGTCACCCCTCTGCTCAGTCCTGCAGACGTCCTGTGCCGTCCTGGGCAGCCCCACATGGGAGCTTTTCATCTAAAAAGAGAAAACATCTCTCAGCACATTGGGATGGGGCTGAGAAAGGGGCAGGTGGCCCCACAGAACCTGGCAGCCCCAATATCTGAGCCCGGTGGTGCTACATGATGGTCACCTCACCTGGGCAGCTGCAACACCCTCTGTCTCTGGTAGATGCTCAGTGGTGCAGAGATGTTTGCCATGGACGGACACCTCCAGGCAGGCCAATTTTCCTCCTCTGACCCTCTGTGGGAGACCAGAATCACCTACTTCCCTCCAACATTCCTTGGCTTAAGGATTTGGTTGCCTGTCCTTCCTCTCCTTTCAAGATATTCCTTATCTACAACTGCCTCCACAGAACATTCACCCGAGGCTGGAGCAGACAGGATTTGCTGCACACTGTCCCATCCCCAAACTGATGATGTCAAGGGGAGGCTGCAGCTTTGCTGGGTATAAACCCACTTCTCCAAGCCACCCCGTGGTTAATCCAAGCCTATTAAGGCTGGACCCGCTGGGGAGTCGCTGTTTCTGCTGCCTGTGTGGGACCAGCATGGCTTGCATGGTTGTGACAGAACTTTCATCTGCTGACAGATGGAATTGAAATAAAAATTAAATTCAAGGCAGTAAAAAAGGGAGGCAGTACCAGAGAAGCTTTGCAGGCACAGATCCACGTGTGAGGAGAGGAAAAGGCCAGCTCTGCCGTCAGCAGTTTGCTCAAAACCTTCACCCAGACAGAAAACAACTCCCAGGGTGAGGAGGCAAATGAAGAAACTCACATGGCAGTTACGGGAATATCACTCCATATGGCAGTTATGGAGCTGCTCCAGAAGTCTGGGGCCAAGGAAAAGATCAATTCAACTGTGATCTGTTCCACATTTTGTAAATCAAATGGCTTTAAAGATCCATGGCATGAAGGGGCCTCTCTCTTACTGGCCATGAGAAATAGGAGGCAAGGTCAGAGGAGGATTTTCTTAATGCCTTCCATGGCCATCTCTAACCACATCCCTTCCTGAGGTTGCATAAGTGCAGCTTTTGATCAAAATCCTCTCCTTCCTCCCAAAAATAAACACAAACCAACTTCTAAAAACAAACATGGCAAGGCAGAAAGATCAAGCCACTGGTTCGTGTCCCAGAAATCACTCACATCACCTGAACATGCCAAGTGTTGCTGCAAAGAAGTGGCTGTTGAGATGTCATTTGTGGGGGTGGAAGTGCCAGTCTGTACCTGTGGCCTCTGTGCCACAGCCTTACCCTTCCTAACTGTGCAGTGGGAAGAACTCTTGATTTTGAGGTGGATAATCTGGTGCAGCCATTCCCTGCCTAAAGCTGTTCATGTGGTGGATCTGGGAGGCAGCACATTCCTGGTCATAAACTCTCCAAGATATCAAATATGAGCTTTGTTTGATAAATCACATTGCTCATCAGAAAGGGCAGTTCCTGGGATCAGGTTCTCCTGCTGATACCAGTGTGTCCTCTCATCCAGGCCACTGTTTCTGCTTCTGGTCTCCCTAAATTTAACACAGGACAAGCTGGAGGGAGCCAACAAAGCTACAGAACAGCCACTTAAAGCATAATCACTTTATTTCCCCTCTGTTTTTCCACCTTCTTAGTTTTCACTTGCACAGATCCCACGCCTTTCAGGACAGAATTCCACATGGGAACACACTGCCCTTTAACTGTGTCCTGGTCCTCCCTAAAATCATGTTACCTGTTCTCTTGGCTTTGCAGGTGGAGTCCATCCGCCCTCAGCCTGTGCTCGGCGAGGAGTGTGGGAACAAGACTGTCCATCCCTTTAACAGTGAGAACGTACCCTGCCAAACAGCCAGGCGGGGGGAGGAAAGGGGTTATTCCTAAAAATGCTCTATGTGATTCTTAGATCCAGACACACAGAGGCAGCGAGTGCTGTGAGTCCGCAGAGAAGTGTATGGGTACCAGTGATGTTCTCTTTAGTGTGTCTTGTGAGTTACTGAAATACCTAAATACTGCTCTAAGGAAATGACAGAATCACAGAATGGAAGGGACCACAGTGCTTTACCTAGTCCCACCTCCCTGCTCAGGCAGGGCCATTCCAGAGCACTGGATGTGTCCAGAGGGTTCTGGAACATCTCGAGTAAGGGAGACTCTACACACTACTTGGGCAACCTGGAACACCACAGAACAAGGGAACTGGGGGTCAGCAAAGGGCTGACGGGGGGTTCGCGGACCAGACTGGGGAAGGAGACGCTGTGAAAGGGGGGAGGCCCTGAGGGGGGAGGCCCTGGGGGGGAGGGGGACTCGGGCAGACCAGGCCGGGCTGGACCGGGCCGGGCCGCGTTGCCATGGCGACGGCTGCACCGCCTCCTTCCCGACGTGCCCGGGCGCGCCCGTGACGTCTAACCCGGAAGCGTTGCCATGGCGGCGGCTGCGCTCCGCGGCCTGGGGGCCGCGCTGGAAACGCACCGGGGACGGGACCGGGCCGTGAGTGAGGGATGGGGGGGGTCTGACCCACCGGGACCGGGCCGTCAGTGAGGGATGGGGGGTCTGACCCGCCCGGAGTGACGGATGGGGGGTCTGACCCGCCGGGACCGGGCTGGGACTGACGGGCCCGACCCTACGGTGACCCGCTCTTTAGGGAAAGAGAAGCACTTAAAGTGCGTTTAAAAGCTCGATGGTGGAAAGGAATGATAAAAATCCGGAGGGTCCGCAAACAGTCAGAGAGGTTACTTGGCGTGAGAATTGGTGTATTGGTGCCTGAGCCCAGGGTGAGGGGGTTTGGGGAAAGAGGTGGAGGGAAAGGGACGGGAGGAATTCAGGAGGGAGAGGGGAATTAAGGAAAGAGAAGGAGAAAGGAAGAGAAAGAGGAAAAGAGAGAGAAATTTCAAAAGGAGAGAATTAAAGAAAGGAGAAAAGAGAGAATTTAAAAAGAAAAGAAGAGAAAAAGAGAGAATTAAAGAGAAAAGAGAGAGAGACTTAAAGAGGAGAAAAGAGAGAAAAAGAATTAAAGAGAGGAGAAAAGAGAAACAAAATTAAAGAAAGAGAGAGGAAAGAGAATTAAAGGAAGAAAGAGAGAGAGAAAGAAAGATAAATAGAGAAAATGAGAGACTTAGAGGAGAAAAGAGAGAAAAGGAGAGAATTAAAGAAAGGATAAAAGAGAGGAAAAGGTAGAATTAAAGAGAGAAAACAGAAGTCCTGGTTCCAGCATCAGCTTCTCTGGACCCCACACCCCCCAGTCCCACCGCTGACCGGGCCGTGCCCCACAGGTCCGTGCCCTGTCCTACAGCCTCCAGCTGGTGGGGGGAGCCCTGCCTGGGCCCGGGGGGCTGCCAGGGGGGCTCCTGGCTGCCTCTGCCCAGCTCAGCTCCTGCCGCACCGTCCTGCGCCTCTTCGATGACCTGGCCATGCTCCAGCACAGCTGCGGCTACGGGCTGGGCCCCGAGGTGAGAGCGGGGAGAGGGGTCCCCCACAGCCCCCCTGGCCACCCCATGCATGTTCTGGCCTGTCCCCTTTTCCCCCCTCCCGCAGGACGAGGATGTGCTGGTGCGGGGGCTCAGCGTGCTCTGCAACGTGGCCAACCAGCTCTACTACCCCTGTGAGCACCTGGCCTGGGCGGCTGATGTCGGAATTGTCCGTGCCGCTTCCCAGAGGTGGTGGACCCTGAGCACGGTGCTGTGGGGCTCTGCCCTGCTCTTGGGAATCCTGCGGTAAGGCCCGGTGGTGATCCATCGGGATAAAACAAAGGGCCCTCTGGCTACTGGAGGTGCTCTTGCTCATGGAAGAGAAAAAAACCCTCCTGTTTGGTGCTATAGGAGAAATAACTCTGCTGTTTTCAGGTCCCTGAAGGTCTTGTGCCAGTTGAGAAGAAAACTGAGGCAGCACAAGTGGTATGATTTCCTTCCTTGGCTGTACAGCTGATCATGGAATCCCAGAATGGGACTGGGAGGTTGGGAAGGACCTTAAAGCCCATCCAGTTCCACCCCCTGCCATGGGCAGGGACGCCTTCCACCAGCCCAGGTTGCTCCAAGCCCTGTCCAACCTGGATTTGGACACTTCCAGGGATGGGGCAGCCACAGCTTCTCTGGGCAACCCGTGCCAGGGCCTCCCCACCCTCACAGGGAACAATTTCTTCCCAATATCCCATCTAACCCTGCCCTCTGGAAGTGGGAAGCCATTCTCCCTTGTCCTGTCCCTCCAGGCCCTTGTCCAAAGTCTCTCTCCAGGTCTCTTTAGCACCATTTTAACCAGTTTTCATTATAATTTAACCCCATACACCAGTTCTCATTTGTATCCGTCACAGTTATTAGGATATTCTGGACTATCACTGATATTCCCTTTGCTTCCAGCAGCACATCCTCACCTCAGAGCCAGAAGTTGAGAGCCCAGGTGAAGGCAGAGGTTCTGAGCATCCTCATGGACGCAGCAGATCTTTCCAATGCCATCCATTGGCTGCCTCCAGGATTCCTCTGGGCTGGAAGGTTCCCTCCGTGGTTAGTAGGGCTCCTGGGGACCATCTCCTCCCTGATTGGAATCTACCAGGCATCCAGAGGAGGAAATTCTGAAGCTGTTTAAATAATTGAGCTTCAGGAGCCAAATTCCCATGTGGTAAAAGTGCCTTTAGTGATGCAGGGTGTATTTTAACTTTCCTGTGTGTTGCTGATTGTAATCCCATACATCCTTTGTGTGGATTGTAATTGGGACTGGAATCAAGGTATCTGTTGCAGAGAGGATTGTTTGCAGTTGATAATTTTTGTCTCTCTCCATCAGAGAAATCTTTCAGGTGAATCCTCTGAAAATCAATCTGCGGTTGGTAAAATTGAAGGGGGGAAAAGTGCCTTCCATCCTTCCTTCCTCTGTCCCAAAAGATAAATGCAACCTTCCAGTGTTTTCTGGAAGAAAAGAGCACAAAGTCGGTGTTAGGTGGAAAAACTGTCGTGGTTCTGTCACACAAAACTCCTAAGGGACAAATCCTGCAAGTTCATCCTCCAGGACAGGGGCACAATCCATATCCTGGGAGTTTCTCTGTCAGATATTTTGGGGTTTGAGCCCAGAGCAAAAAGAGGAGTGAAAAGTGAAAAGTTTTGTTTGTGACAGAGGCAAGAGGGGAAGGAAATAGCAACTGGAAGCAGAGCGAAGCTTCCTTCTAGTCTGCCTTGCTCATTCAAGGAAAAATTGAGGAAGTTGAGACTTCCAGGAGCTCTGAGGCTCTAGCTGTGCCTTCGGGCACCCGGGAATGCCACCGGGTGGAGCTCTTCCACCAGGCTCCGGCAGATGCTAACGGTCTTTTTTTTGTTGTTTTCTTTTTTTAAAAAAAAAAAAGGCAGGAAATTTATGAATCACCTTTCAAAGGAGCAATCAAACGGATGCCGAGATGGGCTTTGCAGTTACAGTTACAGTTACAGTTCTGGGCGTTGCCAATAATAAACGACACGAATCAAAGGTGGCCTTGAGTGATCGTTCCCTCTGAGAGCAGGGAAAAGTTCTTTAGCTGGTTCTGGAAAGCTCCAGGCAGTTCCCAGGGGTCAGAAAACATGAGTGCTCTGTGACCTGCAGCTCCCCATGTGTTAACAGCCTTCCTCCCACCGAAATAAATCCGAGCCCCTGATAGGCTGCCATGGAAATGCACCCTTTGAAAACAGTTCTGTGGTGTCCCTGCACCATTCCAGGGGCTTCCACCTTGTTTTTGTTGTTGCTTTTGGCATGGACAGGGGGAGCTGTGTCCTGCCTGTGTTCAAAGAGCAGAGGAGGTCTGGATGCTCTTTGTCCTTTGCCCTGTCCTTGCTGTTTACCTGGACCTTCACCCTGCAGAGTGTCCCTGAGGATGCCTTTCCTGGCTGTGCTGGGAATTTGGTGCCAGATTTACAGGTTTTGGTACAATTCTGAGCGTAGGCAGAGCTTACCTGGAGGAGACTCTTGGTTTTTTTCTCTACTTTTCTGAGTCCTGTGCCTGAACAGGGAGAGGAAGCAGATCCTTCAGCTTAGGGACAGCTGTGGCTCTTGCCTGGTCCTCTCACCCACCGTGGTGACTCCTGTTGCAGTTTAATTTTAATAATAAATCAGATTATTTTTGTATTCTTAACCCTATTAAATCACTCCTTCAGGACTTGCTCTCCTGCTCAGCACAGGATGAGGTGTAGCTCTAACTCTTCAGTAAAAAGACCCTAAAACCCCCACCTAACCTCTGATGCCAAATTTTTAAAGCTCTAAACCTTGCTTTAATTTTAACATACAGAAAAGGCACTGTAAACTGCTCTAAGTGCATTTGCTTCATCCAATTCCTCATGAAATGATTTTAAGTTACAGCTGGTGGAGCTGAAACGTGCAGAGATAAAGCAATATTGGGTGATTCAGAATTTCTGGAATTTGTATTTTTTCCTTAGGGTGGCTTTGATCCCTGATTAAGCACCTGTGGTGGCTGCTGCTACCTGCCCAGAGCAGCACTTGCTCATTTTTAGCACAAGACCTTGTGTGGGCAGACTTGATCTTCCCAGAACTTGCTTTTTTGTTTTGTTTTGGTTTGGTTTGGTTTTTTTTTTTTTTTTTTTTTTTTTTTTTTGTTGTTGTTTTTTTTTTTCTCTTTTCTGCTGCAGCCATCAGCCCAACTCAGCTCCTGCTCCTGAGAGAGGGTGACAGTACCCTTCCTTGGCAAGGAAAGGTGATGGTGGTGCAGGTGATGGGCTGCCCCGGGGGAGGTAAAGACGAGCAGCACCTTCTGTGCGGGAGCAACCGCTGGATGTTTTCAAGCTCCAAATTTCAAAGGTGGGCTCCGTGCAGGAAAACTTGCTGAGCAGGGCTGGTTTGTCTGGCCGCAACCTGCCTTTGTCAGCAGGGCGGGATCCAAAGGCCGCGGGCGCGCGCTGCTGATCCCAGCCCGGCTGCCCAGTTTATGGCCCTTAATGGTGGGGTGGCTCCGTCCGCACAGCTCCGCCGGGTTCAGGAGCCTCAGATCCGGCGGCCCGAGCCCTCGGCCGCTGCCTCAGCCGCGCTGCGGTGCTGGGGCGCGGGGGACGATGCTCGGAGCGGGGGGACACGGACAAGTGCGGGGGATGAATGGGAGTGGTCAATGGGGGGACACGGACAAGTGCGGGGGATGAATGGGAGTGGTCAATGGGGGGACACGGACAAGTGCGGGGGATGAATGGGGAGTAATCAATGGGGGGGATCAATGGGCGGGGGGGGGCTGACGGGCTGCGCATGCGCGCGCCCGGCCCCGCCTTCCATTCACCAAGAGCGAGCGCAGGGCGCCGCGGACGCTGATTGGCTGCTGCGCGGGCGGGGGCGGGGCCGGCACGGGGCGGCCACGCGGCGGCGGCGGCAGAACGGGCGGGGAGGGGGGCCGGGAC